GATAGATAGATAGATAGATAGATAGATAGATAGATAGATAGATAGATAAATGATAGATAGATTATAGATAGATATGAGAGAGAGGAGGGAGGGAGAGAGAGAGAGAGAGAGATGATAGTGAATGGATGGATGATATAAACACTGTTCCACTACACAATTTCATGACACCCATCTACACATCATTCCCTGCTTCCAAGTACAGTGCAGACAGCACATTGTTGCCACTTTTTAAAATGCTGTTCTGTGGCCCCGATTTGGGACCCATTCCTCCCCAAAGAGAAATCTGCAAAATTCATGCTGTGTTTTGATGGCACCCGGGCGCTGCCAACCGGCATATATTTTGCAGTGACCTGGGTTCATGCCTTCACCTTTTGTAGTTCACCATTCCCCACACAGCTTCCAATAAGCAAGTCAATGGGGGAAGCCAGATTTCTTTAATGACGGCATGATTCACTTAACAAATGCAGTGATTTGCTTAACAGCGGTGGCAAAGAAGGCCATAAAGTGAGGCAAAAGTGACAGAAATTTTGGGTTTAATGTGGTCGTTTGTCAAGGACTCCCTGTATTCCTCTCTTGGTTCTGTAGATCTCTTACAGGCCTTCAATACCATGTATGATTATAGTAGACTGGGATTAATTCTCACAGTAGAATTAATCCTTTGGTTCTACTCCATCCTCAGTGGACACTTCTAGTCACAGATTGAGGGAAGAGAACTTGCCTCATGGAAGAACAGGAGTAGGAAGTGCTGAGGGCCACCATAGTGGATGAATATGAACCAAGTTGGCCTTGGAAAGTCCAGGTTTACTTCCACGAATGTGGAAAACAGGGGCATTAAGTCAAGTTTGTGGAAAGTTCAGCGGAGCCATCCCAAGAAACTAAAAAAAAAGGTGTTAGCACAGAAACCAAGCAGGAATTTCAGAGGTCCCCCTGATAAAACCTATCCTGCAATACCTTTGCAAAGCTTTCCATCTGATTTTTTTTTTCCCCTCTCCCTTCAGGTAAAAGCCCGCGTCAAGGATTTCTTTGAATACCTTTGCAATCTGGTTGCCCAGGAGGCACGTCTAGAAAAACGGGTTTCTCTGGGGACAGAAGCCGATGCGGAAACGGCAGAAGGAAGTCCTGCCACTTCATTGCCAAACCACCACGGTGAACCGGAGAGCGGTTCTAACTCTGAAGGAGCTGCAGGAGGAGGGCTGGCAGCCAACATCCTGGTTGTGAGTCATGGAGCCTACATGAGAAACTGGATTGGCTACTTCATGTCAGACCTGCAGTGTAGTTTGCCGGCCACGTTGACAAAGGCCGAGTTGTCCTCGGTGACTCCCAATACCGGGATCAGCCGCTTCATTGTCAAACTGGAAATGAAGGAGAGCCTCCTTCCCCCTAGAATCCTCTGCCTTTCTCTCAATAGAAGCGACCACTTACGTGACATGAGTGACAGCTAAGAGGCAGGTAGATGTGCGACGTTTAACCCAGGAAGGAAATTATTTATGCCCCGCGTGGAATCGCCATATTATCTTCTCAATTATGTTTGGAAAACGTTAGCTTACCAGAAAGAATTTTCTGCTAAGGGATGTGAACCTCCATTTTGCGTCCGACTTTCTTTACTAGTTTGCCCTTGTTGAAAGTGAGGGGGAGAGAGAAGAAAACAGCATTGCCTGGTGGGAAAGGTGATCTTCCAGGAGAAGCTTCTGGAACTGATTGCTGTTCTAAATGCTCTCCCACCTGGGAGCCATCCAGGAAAGGGCAGAATTTGAATAATACTGCCGTATAAATTAACCAGTGATCTTTAGATCAGCGTTCTCCCCCCCCCCAACCTGTCGGGTGAGGTGGTGGCAGCAGCAGGGGGAGGAGAGAGGATTATTGGGGGGCACGTGTGCTGCTTTCACAAATGTAGCTGTGCACGTAATGTATCCCCTCTTCCTCCCTGCCACCGTCTCTGCCAGTCCCGAAAGGTTGGGGTTTTACAAATGCAGCTGTGCGCAGGCGCACACCTGTGCATTCACCCACCACTCCCACAGCCCAGTTTCAAAGGTGCCATGAACCAGGAGCTGGGAACCCCTCTTTTAGATGATTTAATTAGGATCAGACCGCGAACCAGAGTGTAATCTAGCTTCCCTTTTTAAGAGCATGGCCTCTACAAGGGTGGAACTGGATTTCTGCTGGACCGAATGCGGTGTGGGATGATCCCATTAGAAAGCTTAAATGCAGAGTAGCTATGGCTAAGAAAGTTAAAAAAGTAAATAAACCCCTGTCTTTTGTTTTAATTATTTTAAATAACTTGGACAACTTAGAATCCTTTAGGTCTGTAGAGATTCTCAGTCATCCAGGTCATGGTGCTTTTTTCAGGGGGCAACTGGACTTGTTTTTCTTTGAAGACCTTTCGCTTCTCATCCAAGAAGCTTCTTCAGCTCTGACTGGATGGCAGGGAATGGAAGGATTGATACTCCTTGCAGACAGCTGATCATTTGCATCCTTTTAGAGGGTTGTTGAGGCCACTTGGTGGTTTATGTGTGTCCTCCGGGTGGCCTCAAGGACTGTCTGAAAAGGATGCAAATGACCAGCTGTCTGCAAGGAATATAAATCCTTCCAATCTCCACCATTCAGTCAGAGCTAAAGAAGCTTCTTGGATGAGAAGTGAAACATTTTCAAAGGAAAAGACAAAATAGTCCAGTTGCCTCCTGAAAAAAAAAACACCTTTAGAATCCTTCAGTAACTGTATTAATAAAAAAAAATAGGAGACAAAACCAGATCTGATCCTGCAAACAACTCCTCTCTCTCAGTCCAACTGTGTGCTAATGCACACTGGTCTCCTATTAGGACTTAGTTTGCTTTAGGAGAATTTGCACAAGGGAGCTCCCTGGTGGAATTTGCCTTAAGTTCATTGCAAGAAATTCCCTGGAAATAATCATGCAGTAAATACATATCCGGTTTTTTTCTTTAGAAAAAGATACAAATGCTATAGAGCCAAACCATATTCTAAGAATAAGCAAGATGAAGTTGGGCCTTCCATGTCATTTTTGGCAACATACTCAAAAAGCCATCAGAGAACTGAGAGACTGGCGATGGTTTCTTCAACCACTACTCTGTGGTCGCTACTGAGAATTAAAATAATCGTGCGCTGTTGTTGTTTTGTCACCTTGTGTTGGCCAGTAAAGCTGTCGCTCTAATGTGAATTATTCTGAAACATTCTGATACTCGTGGGCATTAAACTTGGGTTGTGAATGGTTTTGTTGTGAGGCCCGGTCCCTTATTCATGGAGGTAAGATAACATATTTCTCTTGTCACATGGAGACCAAACGCACAAGTCTTTATGCTGCATACAAACACTCAGAAATTGGTTTATGGCTATTATGGGTTTTAGATGTTCTATTCCCCCCACATGCCAAAGACGATGAAGACGTAACTATTCACCGAGTCATATTTGTGGAAAGTGCAATTATGTCAGTCAAGTTCTTTTTCTCCGCTTCCTTTCCTAGATGGCATTAAAAGAGCCAGTGGCCTCACCTCTTTTGAGGAAGGGTCTTGAGATGTGCCAGGAGGAGCATCATGCCTTGACATTCAAAATCTTAGCTATTTCTAGATAGAAAATATATACCTCCAAATATCCTTGCCTTGCATGCGCTGTTGACTCTTCATTTCAGAAATGAAGGACCTGAGGTCTTGGGTTTGTGTGTGTGTGTGTGTGTGTGTATTTAAGATGCATAATTTTCGGTCAGATGGCTTTCTTTGTGTTTGACCTCAAGCCCACGTCCTAAAAGTTTATGGTTCCCTTTGTTAAATTATCAACTGCTCCGTATTTTAACATATGCAAAACACTTGCTGTGTTTATATTTATTGAGCCTTCAGATGTTGTTTTTGTTATTCCTTCTAATAATGTTACTTTCGAGTTCATTAAAATATAACTTTTGAGTCAGCCACAAAAGTCTGGGAGTTTTTTTGTTAAAAAAAAAAACACCAAACAAACCAAAACTATGGCTACATAAATGAGAGATGGAGAATGGCAGAACGTCAGAACGGGAGGGGATGTGGTTAATTTAGGACATACATGATAGTCTTCCGACTAAAATCGGAATTCCGATTTTTTCAGCTTTGCCGGTTGGGAATCGCCTTCCTCCTTTCTTCTTCTTCCCCTCCCCTCGGAGGCCCCGAGTCAGGAGTTGCTACCGCCGGCGCGCCTCTGCGCGGCTCCAGTCCCGCATTGCCTCGGGAAGGGAAAGGCAAAAAGGAAGAGCCGTTGTGCGCTTTGCAACAGCACCGGAGGAGGCGCAGCGGCTCCCGGGTTTCTTCCTCCTGGCACCTTTCGGTCCATGGATACTTTAGAGGCAAAACCATCCCTGTGGCGGGCAGGCTGGCTTGGCAAGCGGACGAGCCGAACAGCGGCTTGGCTACCTACCTTGTGAGGCAGGGAAAGGCGGGAGAAGGGAAGAAGACGGGGGTGGCATGGGCCGGGGATGCGGAGGTGTGGAAAGAGCCAGACGGCTGCAGCTCCCTCCGGAGAGCGAAAGCAATGTTCATTTACCGGAAAATTCCCCTGCGGGAAATCGCGCGGAGGAAAAAAAAAAGAGCTTGGCTACTTTTCAGATTTTTTTTTCAGAGGGGAATATCATGCCTGTTAGAAGGAGAGTATGGGAGTGCCCGAGGAACACCGGAATTACTGCACTGAATTGAAACAGGAACTTTTAATAAAGATTTTTCTTTCTTTCTTGAAAACGTTTAATTTGTCTTCATGGAGAGACAGAATGGAGGGGCAGAATAACAAACATAAATAGTCATATATGTAAATAATCCAAATAAACAAACAAACATGGGAATAGAAAAATACATACATTGCCTTCTCATTGTCTGCTTTATGGAGCATCTCAATTCCGTTCTCCCTGAAAGGAGCCTTATCTGCCTGTTCTCCTCCATCGGGTCGTAGATAAACCATGCCAAGATACCAAGATTTGACATTTCCTGCACAAAGCCTAGAGGTTGATAGGATGGGTCAATATCATGAATCCAGCTAAGGTTAGTCCTGGGAGAGTCCAGCTGAGACCCAAAGGAAGAAACTCACGGAGATGATCCTAGCGCAAGGGTCAGCAATCCGTGGCTCTGGAGCTGCATGTGGCTCTTTCATCCCTCTGCTGTGGCTCCCTGTCGTCGGTCAGCTCCACAATGGATAGGGTTTTCAGTTAGGGCAGGTAGAGGGAAAAGGACGCTGTGCTAGGAGGAGACTCTATGATGGGGGAACTGGATTTCCTGTCGGCTGCAGAATTGAATGGGGGGCTTCCGGTTAGGACCTTGGTGGCGCTTTGAGTGTTTAAGGTTGCCGACCCCTGTCCTAGCTGAATCGGATTCCTTCTACTCATTTTGGGATATTGTGAGGTATTAGGTCAGGTCAGGCATTGTTTGGGAAGAGGGTTACCTATGAAAGCAACTGGCAGGGTCGTACATATTCGTAATGCAGATCAATGAAACCAGGTAACCCCCTCTTGTGAGGTCCTGTCTATTGGTTTAGTGCTCAGAGCCTGCGGGATGTGCAACAATCCAGAATACCCCAAGCCA